CGTATCATCTAAGACGATTGCTGCCAAGAGAGGATCCTACATCTGCATGGCACTGTCTCGCTCTCTAGTGCTTGAGTGAGATGTTCTTGATGAATGCCCTGGCTGACGGTAGGGGTGAGACGCCTACGAGCTGATTCGAGAAGCTCGACGACCTCTCCGAGACCACCGGACCGCGCCACTTGCTCGGCCGAGACTTCAAAGTACCGACGGTTTCCACGTTGGAAGAGGTATTGTGTCTGACTACTTGTATCAACCTCAAAAGACGCCAAGTAGTCCTCTAGTATAGTGTCAGAGCCTGCGTACATCGGCACACTCCATCGATTACCCCAAGCGGGCCACGGTTTCTCCGCCTCCCGCAGATGAGCCGGATCCACGACAACGTAGAGAGCACGGAGAGTACGGGAGCCCCACAAGGTTAGCAGACCGTTCAAAGCCTCGGAATTGTAGAATGAACTTCGGCCGTCAGACGGGCCGACTTGGTGAGGCCCAGGCCAGGCGAGAGCCAGACAGCGCAGCGGTGTTGGCACATGAAGACGAAAAACGCCGGCAGTACTGATCAGACGGCAGGGCCACTGCCATCCAGTATTGAGAATGATGAGATCCCGCATGGCGTCAACTTTCATGTGGTATGCGCCCAGGGAATCGCCACCTCGAAGTATGAGGGTGTAGGAGGATGAATCACCGCCTCGAAGAAGAAATGGGTGAGAGGGTTTGATGAATTTGAGGGCGCGTGTTGCTACACGATAGGATCGATGGCAGACGAAAAGCATGCCAAAGAGAGTGGACATGACGCAGTCGCGATCCGAGAGATGAGGGGATCCAGAGGTGCGAAGTCTGTAGAGAAGAACTCTATCTTTGACATTGTAGCGGTCGATGGAGCCATCCTCGGTGCGGCCCATAGGATGGCGGGCCAGTTGAACATGAAAAGCGGTCGGGGCGGGCGGGGGAAGGGCAGCCTCCCAAACCTTGTCTTGTAGCTCCAGAGGTAGATTGGGGAAAAGAGCAAAGTCATTCATGGCTTATGATGATGATGATAAGTTGGGATAAGGTATTGTAGGGTCGTGTAGGTGGTGTAGCCGATGCCGATGCCAATCCCCATTAACTTTTAGATGAAGGTTGATGGATGAGATGGCGAAGACGGATGATCGTCGTCCAATGCCGGAGCGCAGTCCGGGATGCTTGGACAATGTTGGAGGGGTTCGGGAGGCGAGTTTTCGGGATGGCTGTCGATCTCGGACTGCTGAAGAGGTTTGTTGGTTGAGAAGGCGAATGAATTGCAGCTGAAGATGGGGAGGGGGGGAACAACCGAACAACAGACGGAGGCGGTAGGGCAAATGTTGGTGGCTCGAGGACGATTCAACGCAGACAAGAGAACGCGGGGAAAATTGCAATCGTTGATTGGCTCATTGTGGCCACGGCGTTGGGATGTGTAGCCTCGAGGTGGAGGAGGCAAGCCGCGAAGGGACAAAGTGGCGGACGTAAGATCAGGGTTGAAGGTGGCACGGGTGGGAGGTTGTGGGAACTGGGAATATGTCACTACTGCGAACACCAAAGTGGTGAGGCTTTTCGATGACATGGGCCAATCCACCACACGGCTACGGGCAAGACGGGAGCCTTCCGACTTTCCGCCTGCCCTTTGGTCTTTGCCTGACCCGAGCGCCTGATTGTCGATAGTAGGTACGTACATGGGGTCGCTACGTATTCATCAGTACGTACACTATTATGTAAAGTAGAGATGCAGTTGCAATTTCTTACCATCAGCAACTTGCAAAGAAATGTCACCACAAGATCATCAAGAGAGGACTTCGACTGAGAATCACTATGAAGAAAACATCCCATCACTACGATAGGCTACTCGCAAGATCTCACCACTGCTCCCTCGATGCCACCCGTCTAATCTCTGACCCCAACTCCGAACTCACTCCCGCTCACCGCGAACCATCCAACATGCCGTCCATCCATTGCAATGGCAGCCATTCTCACAGTCACACAGCCCACCGTTGAGCGAATGCGAGTTGAGATGTGACCCCTGCCAGTGATCGGGACAGTCCACCAACCCCCCAGGCCACATCCCTGACCGGTCAGAGCCTCGACCACCTTTTCCCTCGAGTTTCTTGGGGCATATGTTGCAAAGGTGGGATACGATGACGTGGGCTCAGCAAGGATGCCCTCGACGTTCCATCCTCTCCATCCATGTTTTTTCTCAACTAACTGACAGTGACTGACTGACTTGCAGTGACTGCTCATGGCACACGCCGCAAACACCGTGACACCAACAGACAGAGCGGGATCTTGAACGCTTCGCCTCGAGTCTCGACCTTCGGGTGGTTCTTCTCCATATCCACTCTCCACTGCCACTACTGCGTAAGGTAGAAGAAGCAAACAGGAACGCATGGCTACCTTGTCCAGGCCCAGCCAACTGCGATGTGTTGTCCCAACCTCACATCATTCTGAGCTTAGCTTACCCTGCCTTGCCTCGCAGACGCAGCAGAGTTGAGGCATCTCATTCTTACCCTACACTACCTTTCCTTGCATTCCCTTGCACACCTTGCACACACCATCCCGGTATGTCCTCCTCTGTGACCTCTTTAACCTTTTTGCTCTCCCACTGCCCGCTTCATGCCTGGTGGCCCGCTCGTCCAGTGGGAATCCGGTTTGGAGCTCTGCCTCGTCGAGTTCTCAAAGCCTCCATCATCGTGCATGCATATCCCGACCTCCATGCGCGTGGATACCTGCGCTGACTCTGCCTTTTGCCCTCCTCCATGCTATAACAATCCCTCCCTCTTGCTATCCCCTCACACCCACAAACCAACAGATGCATGGAACAGCCCATTTTCTCACGCTCAATTTTGATTCCCCGAGACGTCATTTGCCGCTCACAGAGAGTCATGAATTCAGCCGACTGCGAACTTCAACCAACCCATATATGACTTGGTACAAACCCTTGATAACTCTCCTACCACAACCATTGGTATTGCTATACTACCAGACCAAAAAACGGCTTAATACCGCTTCTCATCGCAGTATACTCTCACCCAGCGTAGCCTCATCACTTTCCCACCATAGCTACTCCAACCAGAACAACATGGATCGCCGTCCTCATGCACAGTCACTGGCACCGCCAGCCCCAATATCAAACAACCCGCCGGAACCTCCACAACGCTTACGGCGCAGATTGCAAAAGAAGCTCCTGTCCATCCGACGTCCTGCACCTATCGACCCCGTGGCATCAAACAAACTCAATACCGGGGTGGCAGTAGCTGCCCAGCAAGCCGGAACCATCGGCCAACCTTCCTTGCGTTTGTCACCAGACCTGAGCGATGCAAAATGGCACGCATATCTCGGAGACAGCAACGCTGTTCAAGATCCGACATCAAAATCGCAATCAAAAGCACAGTCAAAATCACAGTCAAAATCAAAGCCCCTACCAGCGAGACCAAGAACCCCAGAAAAACCACGAAAAGTCTCATTCGACACAACACCACCAGCGCCGGCCATCATTCCAGAATTCTCACACCTCGCCGTCAGCAATTTAACGCCGAGGCCCTCTCTCGACAGCTCACTCAGCTCACCGACCTCGTCAATTAGCACGAGATCGAGCATGAGACGCCATGCAAAGACGCCCATCTACGCCATTGGCCAGCTGGAAAACGCAAGCTATGGGAGGAGTGCCAAAACCGCCGAAAAAGTCACAAGCGTCGACCTGATTGCGAACCAGTACCGAGATCTCCTCGAGACCCAGGACGTCAGCTCAATATACACTGACGCCTACTCTGATCCCTTCCCATCACGACAATCTTTGCACAGCCAGATTTCCTCCTCTACTACCCGGTCACGCCACAGCGCCGGCGAGACACCCGCAGAGCAGCTCCGCCGAGACATATTTTCGCCGGCACCGGCGCCGTTGCGCCGTGCATCGGCGGCGTATTCCAGGTCACCGCGGTCTGATGATGGTACGCTGGTTGCATTCGATGAGGAAGCGATCTACTTCAAGCCCCTGTCATTCTCACCAGAGCCGCCGTTGACACCCCCGCCTCCGCCGCGGAATCGCGCCCGACTGAATCGCAATTCGTCCTCCCAAGGAGGGTCGAATCAGAACCTGAGCCTGCAGATTGCAATGGACCTCTTGACGCGTGAGCTCTCGACGAGCATGTTGGACAACTCGCACAAGACGGGGACAGACGTCTCGTCTCTGCAGGTCTGGGTCATGATCGAAGCCTACGAGAGGCTGAGGGACCAGGTTCTAGAAGCGAGGAGGCAGACAGATGACGCGCAGAACCTGGAAACGGTGTTTGATACCTGGTTGAAGGCTCTCTATAACCTTCATGACCAGATGACGAGTGATGCGGCTTCTCGCGGGAGCAACTACGATGAAGCATAATCGGGGCCAGGAAACAAGGACGGATGACGGATGATCTAATTTTAGTTAACTTGGGTACGGAAACACCCGCAAGGTTAGGGCAACGGCGTTGGAGTTGAAATAGGTTCGGACACGGCATGTCTGAGTAAGAGTACTTTAAACCAGGTAAAAAGAACAACAGTATCAAATTCGATACCAATTCAAATCTGAGAACGAGAAGAACTTAAAGATGTGAGGTATGTGAAATACTATTGCTTCATGGTTTCAATGAGTAGTCTACGGAGTAAAGGCGAGGTGAATGGCATGAATGACCCCACCAGTTTGACAGTTTTGCTGAGGTGCCAAATTCGATGGCATCATCAATTGCCGTTTGGGGCGTGTGGCCCGCTGTAGTCACCATTGCGTTGGCTACCAGACCCCGCCAAAGGTGAGCTACGTTCTATGTACTACGTATTACAGATCCATACCTTAGCTTCCGCAGACGCGACTCTCACCGCGTGCACTTTCTTTGCCTCGTTCAACATCACCAGGCGTATTGCCATCCTCCTGCTCTCCACGCCGTGCACCGTGGCACATATAGAGACCGGTTTCCGATTCCTCAACATACAAGCAATTGGGCAAATACGTAGAATCACCAATCATGGACGACGATTTCGGTGCCGACGAAGACTTCCTGGCCGCTCTCGCATCTTCGAACCCGGCACCTTCACGCCCCGAGGCTCAACCATCTCGTCCCCGTGTGCAGCAACCGACACCGCAGAAGATACAGCAGCTGACACCGCAGCGCTTGGATAGACCACCGCCCGCAAATGCTTCTGCGAGCGGCAAGATTGTCCAACCGACACCCCAGGCCCTTCCCCAGCGAGGATCCGGCTCGGCCATTCTTGTGTCTCCACGGCAGAGGGGCAACCCGGTGCTCGCATCTCTCAAGTCGATGCCATGGGAGTACAGCGATATTCTGGGTGACTACGGTCTTGGTTTGACGACATGTGCATTGTTTCTGAGGTAGGTTCACTACTCAACCAATTCCCTCAAGCTACCTACCTTCCTACCTTAATGACAGGCATGCTAACCCGTATCTGCCTTCAGTCTCAAGTACCACCGCCTCCATCCCGAGTATATCCATACGAGAATCAGGAATCTTCAAGGGAAATACAACCTACGTCTCGTACTGACTATGGTTGATATTCCAAACCACGAGGAGGTCTTGCGCGAGTTGTCCAAGACCTCATTGGTCAACAACGTCACCCTCATTCTTTGCTGGTCAGCCGCCGAGGCCGCGCGATACCTCGAGCTGTACAAGTCGTACGAGCACGCCAATTTCAACGCCATCCGCGGCCAACAAGCGTCAACGTATGCGGAGAAGCTCGTCGAGTTCGTCACCGTTCCCAGGAGCGTCAACAAGTCGGATGCCGTTGCCCTGGTCAGTAACTTTGGTAGCTTGAAGAAAGCCATCAATGCGAATCCCGAGGAGATTGGCTCGCTAGCTGGCTGGGGCGCTGTCAAGGTCAACAAATGGGTCAAGGCTGTCGAGGAGCCTTTCCGAGCACAAAAATCAGGCAAGCGACAGCTGGATCGATCGGACCGCACCGAGGACGGGAGGCCGTCGCAAGCATCGAGGTTGGATCAAGCTGTGCCTCTCAGCAGGGTCCCGCTTCGTGAGATGTCTACGAGAGACTCATCGAGAGGCTCACCTGCAGTGGGCACGCCAACGACAACCCAGCCCAAGAGGCCTGCCGCCTTGGAGAGAGGCAATCCGGATCTCGACGAGGACGATGAAGAGGCGATGATCGCCGCCGCTATTGAGGAATCAAGGCGGACTGCTGAGGTGCAAGCACAAGCACAAGCACAGACGCCGGTGCAGGCGCAGACGCAGACGAAACAAATTGACAGCGCAGGTGCGAAAGACGATGCACTTACAGACGGGGTCGCGGCCGCACTCGCAAGGTTGCGGAAGCAGGGCTGAATACCTGTATTCTCTAGGCTATCTCGCTTTTTCGTACAGCCCCAGAAACACGACACAGCCTTGGAGATTGCGGGCTAAAGTCTAATCGACGTTTCGAAAGGACGGCACACCTTACAAGAGATGGATTCGCGTGTATGGCATTTTCCCTTGGTGTTCCGCGAGGCACCTTTCGCATAAGAAAGAGGAAACTCCATGACTCGTTGGGATTCGAACAAGAGCATAAATGCGGCTTCGAGAGGAAGAACGAATCAAACGACGAAGTAAACTTTGCGTACTTCTGAAGCGACCCTTGCTTCGTCGGTGGGCCAATCACGACGATGCCGATCTGGAAACAGGATGCATTCATCAGACGATTCGCCCGGTAGGAAAGCGAAGTCCGTCTGTAGAAGCATGCCATCCAAGTCAGATCTACCTAGAATTTCCAACGCTGCCTTCGGCGTATCAACAGAGCAGGTGGGGGACTGTATGCTGTGCTCAATAGAGGTCGTGTTCGCGGGTTCGCGCAGTGCGGGGGCGGCCTCGACACGGATTTGCAGGTACCGAACTCAAAGTCAAGAGTTGGAGATGAAGATCGTCACGCACGCATCTGTTATTTCTCCAATGTCACCCTTCTGACCAAGTCAAGTGGTTGACATGGGACGAGCTGGCGGACCTTAGTTCTGACGCCGCGCCATTTCTCCCTATCACGATTGACATTTGATCTTTGGTTTGTGTAACTCTTGGGCAACTTGCCAAAGGACTAAAACTATTGATGCGCTACTCCTTGCTCTTACATGAAAATCAAATAGGCACTGCATCGACGCCGAGCATGCAGAGCCTCCGAGATCCAATGATCAGTAGCTCCGATCATCCCCGGCTAGATTAAGCCGGGTATAGCGGCCGTCGGCACAACCAAGCAGTCTTCTGATCCGCCCGCGCCAAGGCCAAAGGCCGCAGTCGGTCAATATCTGGAGGCCATGCAAATTGACTCTCGGTTGAAGCGCATCTCCAAAGTCCCGAGGAGCCACTGCCTCATACGGAAGGTCAACAAGTTTACAACTTACAACACCTTGTGGTCGGGGCATTGTACGAGGGCCCAGAACATCCCCTCATTTCTATCCCTCGGAGGCTCGGGTATTGCAACTCGCCAGCATTTGTTTCCTTGACTTCATCTGCCCGTATGCAACTGCAACTGCAACGCAACGCTGCATTTAACTTTGGGTAGCACTCACTGGGCAAGGGGCCTTTCCCAAGTTTCCCCCCAACAGCTGCTCCGCACGTGCTTGATTCACCAGGGACGTCCGTGCCTGGTGACTTTGCCATTTCGAGATGAGCAGCGACGAACCTGGGCAAGATCTTCTCTGCGCGTGTTTGATGCCAGTCATTACGGCCACCAGCGGACTCGGCCCGCGTGGACGGCTCATCACTCGCCCTACCAATGGTGTAACCCCCGTTCGAATAAGAACAGTTCGTCTGACTCCTGGGTGTTAGATGCACTCATAGTCTCGTTCTACTGGGGTGGTGGTGGGACTTTGGGGAGGTGGAGGGTGGTATCCAAAGGAACAATAATCAGGAGGGCGAAGATGAGCCGGAGATGGGAAGGGAAAGACACCGGATCGCGAGGACCACTTACCATGTCGAATGGACACAACAAACCCAACGTTACAGACGCAGAAAGCCGACAGAAGCAGGAGAAGAAGCAGGGGCAGCTGGTGTGTGGAAAAAACGGTCCCGACTATGAGACATGGAGCAGGGGCGAACGCAAAGTCCGGGGGACTATGGATGAGAAACAGAGTTTATTCATCTCATGCTGTGCCTGCGTGAAAGTGTTCCCAGTCTCCAGGTCCTCCCTCCCGAAGTTTCCCAGAGTTTGCCGATTCCTGGGGGTTGCGTGATTCCAACACACCCCCGACTGACCCATTGTCATTTTATTAGCCTTTGCGCGCTCCAATAATGCAGTCGACGGTAGATATATATATTTGACCACAGCCTCTCTCCTTCCCTCACTATCGTTCGTCGTTCGTCCGGACCCTGCTCCGTCTGTAGTCTCAGTCTCTTTCTGCTTCCCAGGACCGACATCTAATAGCTTGGAGGCTTCTCGTCGCGAACACGATGCACCTGTCAATGCGCGGACTGGCCATCGCCGGGCTCCTCGCCCAGGCGTCAGCCTCCCCTCAATCTCTTCTACAGGCCGCCGCGCCGCAGTATATCAACCAGCCCGAGAGAGCGGCAGCCGTCAAGGAAGCCTTCCAGCGCTCGTGGGACGGGTACCGCAAGTTCGCCTTCCCCAATGACACGCTCAAGCCGGTGTCGAACACGGCCGAGAATGACCGGTACGTTCTTAGTCGTTTGCTCCACATGAGACAGAGCGCAAAGAACCCCGTTTCCTGACCATGTTTTGCTGTAGGAATGGTTGGGGTGCGAGTGCTGTGGACGCCTTGAGTACTGCCATCCTTATGGAGAACAAGGACGTTGTGGGACAGATTCTAGACTTTATACCGACCATCAACTTCAACGTGACGGATAGCGAGGTCTCTCTGTTTGAGACGACTATCCGATATCTTGGCGGCATGTTGGCAGGTGAGACAAGCTTCCCAATGTAAAAAGGTGGTGTTTCTCTCGTAAAGCTAATACAACTGAATAGGACATGACTTGCTGAAAGGACCACTCAAAGATGTCGCCAGTAATCAGACCGGCGTAGACAATCTTCTCGCGCAGTCGAAGAAACTTGCAGACAATCTCAAAGTCGCGTTCGATACAGCAACCGGCATCCCCGATAACACGCTCATCTACGATCCCAAGCCGCGCAAGAAGGGCTCCGACACGAACGGCATTGCGACCATTGGGACCTTGGTGCTGGAGTGGACTCGCCTGAGCGACCTAACGGGGGACAAGCAATACGCGGACCTGTCACAGAAGGGCGAGAATTTCCTCCTAAAGCCCAACGAGGAGGTGTTCCCCGGCCTGTTGGGTACTGACGTCTTCATCTCGAACGGGACATTTGCGGATCGGTCCGGTGGCTGGAACGGAGGCACCGACAGTTTCTACGAATACCTCATCAAGATGTGGGTGTACGACCAGAACCGATTTTCGCTCTACAAGGAGCGCTGGATCGCTGCGGCCGATTCATCGATCAAGTTCTTGGCGTCGAGCCCGACTACTCGGCCTGATTTGACGTTCTTGGCGGCGTACAACAACGCGAACCTGAGATTCGTCAGCAGCCATCGTAAGTTTGAACCGCTTCTTTTTGGCCATGGTCGACTGCTAACAAGCTCGTCTAGTTGCGTGCTTCGATGGTGGCAACTTTATTCTCGGTGGTCTTGTTCTCAAGGAGCAAAAATACGTCGACTTTGGCATCAAGCTGACCGAGGGCTGCCGCGAGACGTACAAACAGACGGCGACTGGAATCGGGCCAGAAATCTTCCGCTGGCAAGACGACAGGCCGCCGGTGAACAAGACACTCAACCCGGACCCGCCCGCCAACCAGACAGAGTTCTACCAAAAGGCAGGCTTCTGGATCAGAGAGGACGGCGCGGGCTACGTCCTCCGACCCGAGGTCATTGAGAGCTACTACTACGCCTACCGCGCCACCGGCGACAGCAAGTACCAGGACTGGGCGTGGGATGCTTTCCTGGCGATCAATAAGACGTGCAGCGCGGGAAGCGGCTTCTCGTCCATCACCAACGTCCAGGATCCGAAGGGAGGGTCATTCGACGACTTCCAGGAAAGTTTCTGGTTCGCCGAGGTTCTCAAGTACAGCTACCTGATCCAGGCCACGGATGCGAAGGTCCAAGTTGAAGTAGCGGACAACAAGTTTGTTTTCAACACCGAGGCGCATCCGTTCCAGATCGCTTAGAAAGCGAAGACTTGTACCGGGAGAAGAAGGCCGAGGTTGTGGTGATGCATGCATTGATGAGCGAGAGGTGGGACGGTTATATTGATAGTTGGGCATAGATACCCATTATGAATAATTGCATTTTGTTTTTTTTGTTTTGAAGTTCATACCGAAGTCTCCGTATACATGATCTTTCTGGTTTCATTGTCTATACTGGGCTATGAGCCGCCGTCTCTCTTGGCGTATTCCTCCTCCATGGCCTCCTCGTAGAGCCGGTCGGCCTCGAGCTCGGCTTCCGTCTTGGGGCGGGTCGTGCCGGCTCCCGTGTTTGCGCCGGCGCCGGTAGCTTGGCCCGTGTGTTGCTGGCTCTGTCCGACTGTTTCTGTGGTACTAGACTGAGCTGGTTGTGTCTTTGTAGGTTCGTCTTCTGGGACGTTGGGGACGCCTAGTTTGATTGGGAGACCCATTGCGATGACGTAGTGTGGGGTGTGTGAGGCGAGGAATGGAATGTACGGAGTATGTATCTGTGGAGGGTGGGAGTTGGTTTGGGGTGAGAGAGTTGAGTGAGGATGAGGATGAGGATGAGTGTTTGTGAAGAGAAGTGTGGCTGGGGTGAGGCTGGTGTATGTGATGTATTTATGGGGAAGGAAGTTTGTAAGGTAGGAGAATGGAAGATTCCATGTGGCAGTGATGGGTAGCTAGAAGAGTCCGCATAGACTTGCGTCTGCCTTTGCTCGTGTGCTTGTCAAACAGTCACCTGTGGCGAATCATGGGAGGGAGCCGGCAGAGCTGTTCAGCTGCCCTAGGGACGCAGCGAGCTCCGCCATTCGCCGTGTGTGGGTAATGGTAGTTCGGATCCGAACTGATGGCCGGGGACTGGAAGTGTCTTGTCCTTCGAGCCGATCCGCCCCACCTGTTGTCTCTGGGACCAGCACTGGACGGAGGTCCAAAGCCACACATATACACCGCAAGCTTGATAAGGTAGGGGAAGGTGAGATGCGTGGGTGTCAGGCAGGCAGAGAGGTATGGCACGTAGGTTGTGGAATGTACTTCCGTACACGTGCTGTGTTCACCGGGCAGCCGGAATCGAGATTTGAAGTGAGACGATTGCTTTTGGTCTCTTTAATTTAGAGGTTGGCTCATGTTTTGTGATCTAGATTGTCTTGAAAGTTTGGTACACTCGTGT